AATGATAAATGTCAAATAACTAAGATCTGAACATTGTAGCGTTACATAGGAATACATTCATGAGAATAGGTTTCCTATCTAAGTGACCAATATTTGCCCTATGAGAATGACATATAACTTTGTAGAATCAACAAGGTAATGCTTTATGCACAATATCTAAGTTTAAGCATAAACCATAATATTGTTGGGCATATAAAATATCTTATTATTGCCTCCCAGTGTTTGTCATGGGATAAATGTTCTGCAGCTTATTATATTGGTATTTCCTCTATTGAACATATAAATTGTTGTAATGTATAATAAAGCATCTTTTATCAGCCCATCAATATCAGTCTTTCAATTAGAGGAGAAATGCCCACAAAAACACTAAATAGCCATAAAATTGATGTTTGATATTAATCATTTAAAACGTGTTGTTATTTAGTGGATTTAAATACTTGAAGTAAATTCAGTTTAACTTAATAATACCGTTATATTTCAAAATATCTAAATTATATAAACCTATGATCCACTTTGATTATTATCTTAACAGAAAAATAAACTTTAAATATTAAATTTGATAAAAAGCATAATAAAGTGACATATTTTAGGAAATAAAGGGAGGCGACATACATACATTTTGAGGGAACATATTGAGAAAGATATACATTGTAATCTCCCTTTGAAATAATAACTCTAATAAAAGGATCTTGAATAGGTCAGTGTGACCTTGAACTTCATCCAAGGAGTCCCAAACCTGCCTTCTGTACATCGTTTCAGTCATATAAGTAGTTCAGTCAAATATATATGAGTTTCTACCCGTGGTTTAAAAGATACTGGCCGGATACAAAATTTCAAAATAAATAAATTATGACAAACTTAAGAAAGTCAAACCTGCGCTGCTCTGCAAATCGCCTCATCATATTAAGCATTTATGCCAAGCAGTTTAAATTTCCGGTTCAAAAACATGGACTGAACACGAAATCTGCTAATAGACGGACGATCAGGTGCATAACAGCGTACACAGAATTTTGTTCAAACGTTAATAAATGCAATATAAATCGTCCTTAGGCATTTCGCAATATATTTTGCTTTTGAGCGTGCTGCTTTAAACTTTTCGGTACAGTGATATTGGCATCTTTTAATTCCAAATTTCATCTAGGAAGCGTTGGGTATTCAAATTGCAATCAGTCACAACAAAAAATGTGAAATATCCAAGTGCAAAGCCTGAAAAGACCAACACGATTTTCCCTCCCCACAAACACTCAAAATGATCTGATTCAAGTTCACAGAATTGAAATAACGTAAATTTCTTCGAAGGTGTCCACGAACCTTGCCATCAATTTGATGAATTGCAAATGTGAAATCTTCAGAGACAAGAACGCCTTTCTATTGTTACCTTATCCAGCGATGGTGTGATTGTGCCCAACTAACATCGTGTCAATATTTTTATTTAAACTATAGTTAACAAAATAACGTCTTAATAAGTACCAATATGTCCATCATACTTAACAAAATATAAGAAAGTCACAGTTTTTTTTAAAAATGTTCCCAAAAGAAAATTGTCACTATGGTCTATCTGACTTTCATCGTCGCTGATTTTCTATAGTTGATTATTCCGACATACCGTTTAATGAATCAGCAACATGTGTAGCTTACAATATCCTGTTCATGTTTTTAATTAATTTATCTCACACTTTAACAATATCAAGGGGTCATGCCATGCGCGCGCATCATCAAACTTATTCCGAGAACACTTTATCAAACGGTATTTTAAAGAAAAACGAGTCATGTAAATAACCCAGAATAGATTTGCATTCAATTTCGTTTGCAAATAAAATGTTTTTACTTCTTGCTTAAATACTCCTTAAATGCCTTGACAAAAATCTTCCTTTTCTCGTTAGTAGTTCGCGTTGAATGCATTCTGGATACTGCGTACACTCGGCATTGAAATGTTAAAAATGAGAAAATGTCGATTAAAGTGACAGTTAAAGACGTCATCTAGAACTTAATTGATTATTCATTATAGAATCCTTTTCAAAAATATATTTTCAACTTTTGTTATTTCTCGTGTGTACGAAAAATTGTCTTCAAACGCATATGGTGCTGAAAAAAGACTTCAAGATTTGTGCCCTGTCCTGTTTTTGTTTAGGGTCTGCCTGGGCTCGTTGCCACTGGTTCTCGTTGCTGGGTCGTGTGGGGTTGCGTTCATTGAACAACGCCTTTCCTTGTTGATTTTGTTTATCATATTCAAACAGTGTTTTGCATACAATGCGACCATCCTCGATATCGGTATGTAGTTCCTCAAGTGAGCATAACTTCAATTCAATTCATCGTTTATTGATTTATGGCAAAATTCCTCGGAGCCAAGTCAGGTGAATACGGATTTAATGAGATATAATTATCATATACATAACATATACATTAGCATTTAAAATTATTGTTTATGCAGATAAAAAATATTTAAGGGTTAGGGTTAAGGTTTGGGTTAGGGCGTGTATATGAAATATGATTATTTGATATCAGAATAACATTTGACACTCTCAGATTGTCGGTATCCGATGAAAAGTGAAATAACCTATTAATCGCTCGAGAAGTTCTCTGATCATCATTGATCTGTCCCGCGCATTACGAATTGTTAATTATGACATACATTTTCTATGTTTTCCTATTTGGCTATTTTTGGCCATTGGAAATTTCCTATTGTTTATTTAATAATCTGTTTTGTTAGATTTTACATTTTTACGACATTGCAGAATGTTATTATTATACGGATATTTCACAGTCGTTCTGACGCCGTCAAAAGGATAAAGACATCTCATCTGTGATGTGGCTTCCAATTCTTAAGAAAATACGTGAAATCGTAGGCAATGTATTTTTTTCTAATTCCAGGCTTTATTCAGATTACGTCTATTTTAACAAATACAACGTGACTCCTGAAGATTTTCACAACCGTGTGGTCAAAGGAATAGGAGCATTTCAGACATGTTTAAGGTTTCAAAACATAGAAGAATGTGCCAACAACTTCAATCAAAAGGACAGTGTAAGTTTCACTTACATGATACATGTATATTGAATGTTTTCAATCATGTTTTTGTAAACAAAATGTCTGCTTAAATTTGAGCCGCTTTTGCAAACATCGTAATCATAATATTATATGACACAGTATATACTTTGTCATATTTGTTAAAGTAATATTATGCACATCAAGTGGGTACCCGTGCGAATTTGTAAAGGCCGCCGACGCTTCACCGATGTTGGCTCGAATCCCGACAAGGTCTTTAGATTTTGTATGCGAGGGAGCGATATTTATTCAACTTAATGAAACAATGAGCATGATGTCACTTTGATATTTAGATATAAATATTTTAATTAAAGTGTGGCTACATCCACACACACACACACACCAACACACACACTCACACACACCAACACACACACACACACACACACACACACACACACACACACACAAACATACACATTAAATAAAAAGAGAACCCGTATGTTTAATATCATAGTTTTTCCTGCATTAGAAGGTTGGTACGAGAAGTGTTCAAATATGCATGTATCTTAGCACGTAAATTTTTAGTTCTCATAGGATTATTTATTTTGAACCTTCAAATATTCATGTCTACTAGATATAAAAAGTTTCAGTTTCTGTATAAAATCTAAGAAGGCATTTTCATAGTATTGTTTCGGTATACTATGAAGATACTGGAATAATGCAAGACCGAGATATTTTCGACCTCAACAGTATTTTCTAAGCTTTGGAAATAATAAAGTCACAAATGATAAGGTCAGGTGCACAGAGGATTAAGGAGTCCAACAGCCTTTCTCTATCTAATTAAATCTTGCACTCTAACGTCTTGTTATGTGGAAATCTGATATTGGTTTGAGTTAATTCAAAAGTATTTGTTTAGAAGACATTTCGCATTACCAGATATGCCTTTAGGAACAGCAACCTGGAATGTGGGACAATGAGTTGAAAAGTAAATATCGTACATTCCCTTCTTTATACTGATGGTGTCTTTTGCAATGCATGGTCCTTTGTCAGACTTTGGTACTCTTGTTTTGGTGTTTCCGTTGCGACTAATGAAAACTAAAAGTTAAGTTTCGTTACCAATTGTTTTTTTTTTCTGATCATCTGTCAGCAAATGTGGAATTCATCTATCAAAGATCTTTCTCATTTTCAAATAACGCCTGAGAATGATATGATGTAATCCAATTGAAACGCCAACGTTTCTTGCATTTTGACTGGTCTTCCATAGGTATTAGTTGTTTCTTCCACTTTAGCAACCATCTCGAAAAACATATCTGATTAAGACTGACGGTTTTGAGTGCAATTTCAATAGAAAATAACCCACAATTGAATTTATAAACCAATGTAAAAATAATAAAAAAGACATGTCATTTTAACCATACAGAACAAATTTTACCAAAATTTTTTGCACCAAGTGCCAAGGAGACAACATTCGTTGATAATTGACTGAATTTTTAGGCATAGTCTGATGATCTTCTACCAACCATTTTTTTATAGTTTACGAGTAATCACTGTTTTGTGAGCTATAAACACATCATTCTAAAGAGAACGGACTTAAGTGAATGGGGTATCAATGTAAAGATGACACTTATAACTACATAAATACTCATTTTCTTTTGCTTTTGTTTTAAGCAATGTTGAAGAAAAATGATGTTTTTTATTCCTTCATATTTAAAATCTTTTCTTATATACCTTTGTTGATATCAAACACTCAAATAATTTACAACATAATATATTTTAATAAAATCTCAATAAAACTTTTTTCATCGAATCAACAAATGCATAAGTTTATCTTGGACTAATTTTGTTTGTTTGTTTCATTATTTTACGCCTATTCCCAACAGTATTTCAGTCATATAGGCGGGTAGTTTCCTAACCATCGTTCCTGGAGAGTTACACCAGTACTAGACTACCTTCCTCCGTCTTAGACTAACAAAAATCATTTTAAATTTAAATGTGACAAAGGGAACCATGCATTACATTCACAAAAAGTAGGATTATGTAAAGTAAAATTGATCTCATATAAATAAAGGTACGCTCCTCTAATCCCTTTGAGAGAAAAGTAAATAACACTTTAAATATACACTGAAACACGATGATCATTCAATAAGTTATGTCGTAACTTTATCCTCATATTGTTAAACGCCCCATGGCACTAGCTCAAACGATTTGTGTCATGCAATTGTATGGAGGCACATTACTACCAACAGTTAACTATATAATTATATCGCGTTAACTATTTAATTAACGAGTTACTTTTCGTTTTAACACCATAAATATCAGATATTCATCAGTCTAACTAGATATCTTTTCTGTTAGATAGATAAATAACGAATAAGTATGTAAATTCTAAAAACAGTAAAGGTCAAAGCTTTTTAAACTAGAAAATTGTCTGTAAAATAGTATAACAGTTCAGATAGGCCTACAAGTTCGGTTACAAAGACAAACTCCGCTACTTTAAATGTAATAGTAGAGCAAGATGCAAGACTTCAGGAAAGGATACAGCTCTTATAAAATATATAAATACAGAATCCCTAAAGAAAGCCCAACACGGCAAAATTGAAAATGTTGCAGGCTCGGTTTGACTGAGCCTGTTCATGGACGGTACTGGAAAGTGCAAGTTACCGTCCACGCTCCCTAGCACCGGCTTAAGCAGAATTCAACATTTAAACATGAAGTAGTAAAATTTTGAATTTAGAAACATCCGCAGATGTGTTCATACGGCGGTTATCATGGAACCTTCAATGTGACACTTCCGTGCCATTCCATGAAAAGCGGCGTATGGTCCCCTAGTAATGAAAAGCGTGTGACCTTTTACATAGCTTACTTCCTACTTTTACATAAAAAACAGTATTCAATAAACTGTGGGCAAGTTTGTTGGCTTCAGAAAGGCTTGTGTTTGATGGGTGCGCCTGAAGTGTGCCAAAAAACTTCTAAAAACACACAAAGACTAAAATAGTCGTATTTTTCTAACTTGCTAACAAGAAATGAAGCTTAGGCATATGTTTGAGACGAGTCTCAAGCGAAACAGATAACAAACAGGTAACAAAAACAAACGGACATGTTTTGCCAAGAAGATATTGCTTGCGATTGTCTTTTATCCAAGTGGGCCAGTTGTTCAAATGTCTTGTCCGTCTGGTCATATATATATAAATGAAAATTACATTTTTTTTGCATCAACAAACAAACAAAATAAAATATATGTAACATGAAAGTCTGCATTATATACTGCATTATATAAATAAATCATTTAAAACAGGTCAGATTGAACATTGGTTTATACTATATCTACATAGGATATTTTCTGCGAGTATTTCCAAAAGATCAAGTGAAGATCATCAAGCTTGAAGATTTTTCTGTTAATACGTTATTCCACATGAGAAACATATTTTACTTCTTGGAAGTAGGTAAATATTTCGTTTTTGATATGTCTTATTTTGAACCATCGATGTTCTATTACATGTGCCATTTAGTTACGAACTGATTTAGGGTTTCCTTTATTCCTTAAACAAAGTCCACCACAAACAGCAGCAGAACATGATTATCAAACACAAAAACAACTGATACAAACAATTATTAGTGAAGGTCTAGCAAAAGTCAATAACAGTTATCGGATAGCAAAGCTTGATGATTAGTCTTATTTTTTTTAAATAGGAATCAAAATATGGCCAATTTAAAACTAATATATTTTGATAAAAAACTTGAAGGCATTTAAAGATCAATGTCAAGTTCTACTAAAAGGTATTGTTTAATGAATTGTTTTGTCCAATACAATACATCTACATCTCAATATACATCTACAATACTTATACAACACAATTATAACCAATTATAGTGACATCAATGAAATCTAGGTAATTAATATCTAAGGTTAATGTTATGTCAACTTTCTCACGATATGCGCAAATAGACATTTTGAAAATCATTCCTGCCGAGTTTTATTAAAGTTGGTTGAGAGATTTAAGGAAAGAATCGCACACAGATTGCCAGGCGGCGTGACAGTATTATAGTCGCAACAGTATACCCCTACAACATTCAGATAATATAAAGAAATGTTGACATTTTTTAATAGAGATCAGGAAATAAGCCTACATAAAAGACATAAGACAAATACTTAAAACATAATTTTAAATTTTCAATTTTCACATCTTAAATATTTTTCACGGTGTAAATGATGAATTCTTAAAAGCTTATTAATCTCAATCATAGGGATCCCTTCGGCGGGTATATTGAATCGTGTTGTAGATATGCCAAAAACAAACAATAACACAGAGAAAAAAACAAGTGCTGGAACTATGTGGAAGAAAACAGTAGCAGCTATAGATTCATTTTATAAACTGTACAACCAGAAACTTGCTGAGCTTATAGGACAGGAGTTCAATTACAATACGTAAATTGAAACGTTTACAGCAATTATTTAGATGTCGTGTCTATTTAAGTTTACATGCTTTAGATTATATTTTCATTTACAGATTAACCGTTGAAAAAAATGAATTTTTACTATTGTTCTTGTCCTGGGCTTATTGAGAATTGAATCTATATTCTCACATGTCTAATTCCTCAGAAGATCACAATATCAAGCAATAGGGCCCTTGGGCCTTGGGTCGCTGACCTTAGGCATGGCTGTATTTAGAGTTTATGAAGAAAAAAATCTTAGTTTTAATTGAACTGGGTGAGGGTGATCTCAGTTTTACAAAGGTTTCCCCAAGATCTGATCAGGTGACTTAGTTTCTGAACCTGTATGATTTCATTTCAAATCTGCACTAGATCTTGTTGAGATATATATGTTGATCAATTTTCGAATAGGGTAAAAGCGTCAATAACTTCGCAACAATGTATGTCACAATATCTTGAGAACAATGTGAAAGCTGTGCTAGAGAACAACAAAGGCTACAAGTAAATACACATCTTTCTTAGACGAAGACTCGAATTACACTGTTTAGTTGAATTCAATCTGAGTGACACAGTGAAGCTAAATACAAGCAACTTACAATAAAACTATAATGTACTATAAAAAACGGTTATGATATTTAGTCAATGCATTCAAAAATAACAAAGTTACAGCCAGTAACAGCAAAATGAAATAAACATTTCAATAATTTGATCTTCAAAGTCAAGGTCATTTATTGGCGAAGGTCAAGATCTGTCTGGTAATTTTTAAAGGTCTATCCTTAAAGTTTATTATGTTCAAGCTTGAAGTCAATCAATTATAAATAAGAAAGTAATAGCCACAAATAGCGAAATACAAGGGAAATTTGGACATTTGACCTTGAATGTCAAGGTCATTTATACATGAAGGTCAGAGTTTGTCCGGTCTACTGAAAGAATTTGTTCTGTTTGTTTGTTTCATTTTACGCCTTTTCCCAACAGTATTTCAGTCATATAGGCGGGAAGTGTCCTAACCATTGTTGCTGGAGAGTTACACCAGTACTAGACTACCTTCCTTCGTGCTAAACTACCAAAGCATCTACCGGGGATCGAACCCACGCCAACTAGGTAACTGGATTAGAATTCATCGACTCTAACCCCTCGACTACGAAGGCAGTTCACTAGAAAGAATAATCTTTGTATTAAATACCAAGTATCAAGGCCTTGTGTGCTTGGCAAGATGATTTTTTAAAGATTTCTCTATATAACTTTATATAGAATATATATTGTGCTCCTCTTAGTTCACGGTACTTAACGCTTTGAAACAAGAAAGAAAACAACAAATGAAACTTATGGTACAAAAATTGTCATAATCCATAACATATAGTTTTTTTTTTGCTGTATTACACAAGGAAACAACAATATATTTAGTCAAAATTAGTTTAAATGAGCCAGACGTAGACCATAGGTGGGACATTTTTAAAACAGTATGTTATCATTAAAATTGCGGTAATGGTGTTCTATTTCAGTTTTTTCATGTTTCAGTTAAAATTTCTTCATGTTATTTTACATCATTTTAAATATTAAAAGTATATTTACATTGTAACTCAAGATTTATTTTTTCAACACACAAGAACATTTAGAAAATGATGATTGTTTCAGACACATATTTAAATGACAATTGTTGCTTTTCGCAGAATTTTGTAAAATGTTGTTCTGTATATCGTAAAAATGTATTGATATAAAATATTTTGCACAAAACTTTGTTTAGGTGTTTGAATAAAATATGTCAATTCTGACCAATTTTAACACTGTTCACATGAAAATATGCCATAACCGTGAAATAAGTGATGACGCGGAATTAGTGATGTTTAGTAAATAACTTTATATAAAACTGAGGGGCCCACTGGCAGGTGCCCTTTTGACCATAGGGTCATTATATGAACATTCGTTGGAGAGAAGCGCTAGATGATGTAATATACCAAACATCAAAGCTGTAGGCCATGTGGTATTTAACAAGAACAATTTTAATATTTTTTTTGTTTTAAATCGATAAGCCCCCTGGCAGGGCCCCTTTTCATTACATGGGCAAAATTTGTAAAGGACCACTAGATCATGTTACATACGAAATATCAATGCTCTACGCATTGTTGATTTTTTCCTACATAATTTTAGATTAAACCGATACACCCCCGGCGGAACTCCTTTTCATCTTAGGGGCATGATTTGAACAATCTTTGTAGAGGACCACTAGATCATTTTACATATACAATATCAAGGGTCTACACCTTCTGGTTCGAGACAAGATGTTTTAAAAATTTTGTTAATAAAACTTTTTTGGTTGCCATGGAAACCAGAGTTCTTCAAGAAATCCAATTCTTTTAACAACTTTGGTAGAGCTTTATGCAAGAAACATTCCTGTCAAGTTTCATTGAATTTGACCAATTGTATTAAACGAGAATTCATTTGAATGAAAAAGGAAACACACGGACGACAGACAACACATTGTCACAAAAGATCAACTTGTCACTTTGTGAACTGAAAGCAAGTTTCGGAGTCCTATTTATTTTGAAATACTGACAATTTTGTCGCAATGATTACTTCATTCTCAAGTCAAGTATACAACATACTGAGTGTAAATAACATTTTAAACGTTCAATTACTAAGTTTTAATCATAGAATAATATAATTTGTTTAGTTTTCATTTAGTTTAATGTGAATTGTGATAAATACGAGGGTTGTTCAAAAATTAATGTTACTCGGGTTCTATCTCGTGGAAATCGTGCTATATGAACTCAAATTCAACACAAGTCGATAGCGTGATACCTGGAGAGAGGTACTGCACAATATCTCGCTCACAATTACACTTACCTTGATACTTTGTAAATTGTTTTGCAGCGTACTCATTACACTCACACAAATATGGTTGGAAAGACATCTGAAAACGTGATTTAAGTTAAGACCTATATAAAATGTACGTCTCTGATTCGCTTAAGGTAGAACGCGACACTTTGCGAACTTTCGAGTAGCGTCTTGAAATTTTGCATGCAAAAAATTGACCATATTTCTGATTAGGTTCCGTTAATTTTATTTCAATAGTTTCAGCCAATTTTTGTACACATGACGTCAAATATGATAAACAAGATCAACAAGGAAAGGCGACGTTCAATGAACGCAACCCCCACATGACCCAGCAACAAGAACCAATGGCAAGGAGCCCAATGGACCCCAAACAAAAACAGGACAGGGCAAAGACAGAGCACGGACAGGTTAATCATTAAATGATAATTAATTTGTAACTGATTAGGAATTCAAAGAAAATAAAAATAGGCCCACAAAGGGGAAGGGGACAGGAGACCGGGGGAGGGGGTGGGGAGTAATCAAAGAAATAAAAACTAGAGGCAATGGGGAAGATACTTACCGTAGACGAGAAAACAACAAGGGACACAAGCAAAAGTGTCACCAAAACAGTATGAAACAACATAAAACATACATCTGAGGAACACAGTGGGGCGCCGCCTTGGAACGGTCAGCAGCATAATAATGACTGCTGGGGAGTTTAAACCGGTTAATGGTGCACCAAACCTCGCTCTTAGCCCCACCATGTTCCTATAAACGAGACAGTGTAAATAAAATAAATCCCCGCCAAGTGAAATTCTAACAGTTGTCATGGTTACAAAAGGTTAAATAAGTAAAACACTAAAATGATCATGTAGAAACATATAAAAGTAAACCCAATGACCATAACAAAAGTACTCAATGTCCTAAAGGAAGACAGAGCAACAAGAAAATCACCTACAAGGGCCCGACGAAGCAAGGCAGAAGACGAACATTAAGACAATTCAGTCCCAAAGGGCTTTACGAACTATCCATCATAGAGTCTCCGACTTGGTCCGTCAGATGCAATCAAAAGAGGAAAGCGTAGTGTCCAACTGTAAAAGGGTTGAACACTAAACATGCAGTATGTCTTAAAATAGTAGGGTCATAACCTCTTTTAATAAAACGTTTAATGATTTTAGTAAAAACAGCAGAAAAATTACCATGACCCAAAATCTTACGAAGTTTGTAAATCACATCGCCATAAAAACCAGGCTGGCTAATCCCTTGTCGCAGAAGAGTTTTTAAATCACTATTGAATTTGGAAATTAAATCAAAGTTACGATTGTAAAATTAAGTAAAATATTTCCGTAATTTATGATAGCGGTAGCCCTGTTTTAGAAGCTTGCTGGTAATAAAAATATTCCGCTCGTTGAAATCCTTTACGTTGCTACAAGCTCTAGCGAATCTAATTAACTGGGAAACATAAACCCCGTAAGATGTTGCATGGGGTACGTCTCCATCTAAATGTGGATAATTAATTATACAAAAGTCAAAGTCATCTCTTTTATCATAGATTTTCGTGTGAATAGAATTGTTGTTGATAGTAATATGAAGATCCAAAAATGATGTACTAAAATTTGAAGAGTTCGTTTTATTAAGTTGTAGTTCATGCGGATAAATGTCAGACACCATTTGATCAAAATAAGGATTATCTAAATCTAAAATATCATCAAGGTATCTGGAAGTATTATTAAATGCGACTATAACATCTTGTTGTTTATCTTCAGAGAGAAGATATAAGTTGACCATCAAAGCCCGTTTTTGAACATGACGTCGTTGCGTATCCTTGGCAACTGTTACGGGTATTTCATTGCCATTAGCGGACAAAATATCTTAAATCCTACAACATTCGACGGAAATTACTTTTTCCTTTAAGCAGATATAAAATTTATTGTTTTACGCCGAAAATTGTTTGAGTTATGGAAAGAAAATTGTCAATTTTGTGTAAAATTTGACATTCAGTTTAGCCGCAATTTTCGGCTTTAAAGCGGCTTATTAAAAAATTCCTGAAATAAATTTTTGATATTTTTCTTTAAATGTCCTTTAAAATGTATACTTAGTCAAAATAACTAAAAAAATTAGGGGGTCGCCTACTCAATTTTTTCGGTACACGTGATTTTATTTCCCCCACACCTTTGGATAAAAGTCACGCTATCACGGGGCGTTTTTTTGTTTTTTTTTTGATGTTATTAAAACGATCGCCCTGTGTCAAAATCTCGCTTTTTATGACATTTTACGCTATTATGACCACTGCGGAAAATATATGGATACAAGAAAGGGAACGGAATTCCGTATATTATAGATAGACAGGTAAGTGAAATTTGATGTACGGGATCGTAAATCATGCAATACGTATATGACTAATATACCGTGATCCGTACACTCGTAATATGCGGGAAATTTGAATGAAGTTCGTATTTACTAAAATACGTATTTTTTTTAATTACACGATCATTATATTACCAAAATATGTTTGTTTTTCATTCCTGTAAATACAGATTTTGTATATAAATCAGTGAATAAAGATGTACTTCAGAATTTCCACAAGAGGAAAGAAATAATAGTCTGATCTGCCATTTGTCAGAATAACATTAAATAGTAAAACTTTGAGTAAAATGTAATATTTCTCGGTTTTATTAACATGTCAGTTGCATACTGATTTAATAGTTAGTGAAACATCGGCAGATCCTTTACAGTGCCCGTAGCATGTACAGACAAAAAAATGACAATATATATTGAAATATCTTTATTTTGTATAAAATTTACAAAGCAACACTCTTTTGTTCAGTATCTAGCTCAGGGCCACCGGTTCGCTAAAATCCGCAGACGTGTATTTACAGTGTTTCATTATATTTCATGTTTATAGTACTGTTTTTAAATTTTCCTGTTCAAAAAAATTCTATCATAAATTTGGCTATACAGTGAATAATGAATATTTGCAAAGGCCGATTTGATAGTAATGTTTTTAATACAGCGTTTATGGTGAATCCTCAATTAATCGTTATTTTTAACATTATGATATTCTAAAATGATAAGCAAAACGAGAGAATATGTATAACAGATACTTGTAGAATCAAACGTGCTACTTCTGTAATCCAACACCCACTGAGATAACGTTTCAAGCATGACTGTTTGCTTCACGCTAATATAATTGACTAAGTTTCATTTATGAACCGTATGTTTTAATTTGTCAATATTTCGCCAATTCTGTCAAATTGTTGCAATAGTTTTTTAGTGAAATTCAAATTCTGGTTTTTAATAGGTGAAATAAAATACATATCACTCACAGTACATGAATATCACTCATAGTGTGGGTAATGCAAAATGTATAGATTTGCATGATTTCTTGTAGACTACGTATTTATTTATGATTGAATTTCCGTAAATTTCTAAATTTACATAAAAATATATAGTTGCTTTATGTTCCTTAAGGTATATTTCTCGATTCAAGTTTATTAATCTTAATGTATTACAATATTAAAAAGGAACACCGCAAATGATTACTCTCAGCTGTATTTATTTTTGTTTGCGTCTGTTTATAATTTCTTATGAAATTATTAATTATGCTTAAAAAAAAAAGAAACAAAAACGTTTGTTTTTTGTACAATTTTAAGAATTTGCAATGGAACATTGTTGTTGTTGTTTTATATGTATTAGTAAAACTCTAGAGCAATTTTCCTAATAAGCTGAACATTATTGCCGCACTTTGAAGTCTCAAACGTATCTGCATACGTCGAATTTCGTTACAAAATTACTCACGGGGTGGGGGAAATAAAATCACGTGTACCGAAAATATTGTGTCAGTGACCCCCTATTTTTTTAGTTATTTTGACTAAGTATACATTTTAAAGGACGTTTAAATAAAAAAATCAAAAAATTATTTCAGGAAATTTTCAATAAGCCGCTTTA